ATTCATAAATCAATACATCAATTAAATCAAAGTGTAATATAGTACAGCATCGCGGATACTATATACAACATTTAACGGTAGTTTGCATTCATTTATTCCACTTTTCACACTATAATTATGACCTTTAGCATAATTCTCCTATTTTAATAGCAATGTGTTGAGCATAATCAGTTTAAGCGCGCAAGTCATAAAGGAGGCATTCTTATAAATCACCCCGGTAAATGCTGAATCTGTGGATCGTGTTCAGACATGAAGCTCTCAGTGAGCGCAAACACACACAAACACACGCGAGACCGACGCGCTGAAAATGAAACTCGTCGCGCGTCGCGTCTGTTGCGTCGCGTCACGTTATAGCTGATATTAGAGACGGACAGACACTCAACTCACCAGTTTCCAGAGCCAATAATGCACACTTTCTTTCCAGGCATTGTGTCTGTGTTTGTGTGTGTGTGTGTGTGTGTGTTGTCTGATGACCAGCCAGTGAAGGAGTGAAGTTTAACTTCCTGACACACCCGACATACAGGAGAGAGAGAGAGAGAGAGAGAGAGAGAGAGAGAGAGAGAGAGAGAGAGAGAGAGACATCTAGATTATTAAGATTGAATCATTGTAAATATACTGATTAAAATTATTCATTATTTATGTTTTTGTCCAATGTTGATTGTTAAATGTACAGTTTATCTGATTTATTATTATTATTATTATTATTGGTAGTAGTAGTATAAGTATTAATATTGTTATTATTTTATTTGCATTTTATTTGTTAATAATAATAATAATAATAATAACAATGATAATAATAATAATAATAATAATAATATAATAATAATTCATTCATTCATTTTCTTTTCGGTTTAGTCCCTTTATTAATCAGGGGTCGCCACAGCAGAATGAACCACCAACTTATCCAGCATATGTTTTTACGCAGCTGATGCCCTTCCAGCTGCAACCTATCTCTGGGAAACAGCCATTCACACTGATACACTACAGACAATTTAGCCTACCCAGTTCCCCTATAGCGCATGTGTTTGGACTGTGGGGGAAACCGGAGCACCCAGAGGAAACCCACGCCAACATGGGGAGAACATGCAAACTCCACACAGAAACACCAACTGACCCAGCCGGGACTCAAACCAGAGACCTTCTGCTGTGAGGCCACAGCACTACCTACTGTGCCACTGTGCCGCCCTTAATAATAATAATAATTATTATTATTATATATATTATAATACTATAGTACTGTTTACTGTTTACTATGTTTTTAAATATACATGCATGTTCTTTTTAATGTAAACTTTATAAACACTTTGGCAATTATATAATTATTGAATTGAATTGAGAGAGATATAAAGAGAGAGCGACAGCGTGTGTGAAAGTGAGAGAGAGAAGGAGAGAGAGACTTTTTTGATAAAAAAAACTTATTTAATTACAAATTACTTCGGGGAAGACAAAATCACAAGTTTGAAATGTTCAATCATTAATGCATTAATCTGTAATAATAATAATCAATCAGAATCCTGGATTTTATCCGTTTCAACTTGCACGTTATCACACGTATGCTCATCTTTTTCAGTCTTTCCTACTAAAAAATTCAAGACTTTTGTCTGTTTGTCTGGCTTTTATTGCACTCTTAAAAAGCAAATAAATTAATCAACATTTTCATGGTAAAATTGACCAACATTTATTTTAATATATTAAATAAATACTTTAACCTGTGCGTGCGTGTGTGTGTGTGTGTGCAAGAGAGAGAAAGAGTGAGTGAGAGTGTACATGAGAGCGTGTCTGTGTGTATGTGAGTGTGTGTGTGTGTGTATGTGAGTGTATGTGTGTGTGTACGTTGGGTTCAACAGGTCTGGATTTGTCTGTATTTCTGAATTCCTTCTTTAATTGTGTGTAATCATCTGTGTGTTCTAGTCCTGCAGTGTGTGCAACAGATTATTCCTAGTACTGGGAAACACCTATACACACTGATTCACACACACACACACACTCATACACTACGGCCAGTTTAGTTAATCAATTCCCCTAAAAAAAAAAGAAAGTGTGAGGGGTGATGAATATCAGAAGTTCCTCATCATGTGACTGTGTGTCTGCTGTTCCTGTGGGTTTACATTTTTATAATACAGCAAAAACAGTCTTTCTAATCCTGTTTCAGAAATAAAAACTGCTGAAACACAGAAACACATCTTTAAAAACACAATTAAATAATGGCATTTCAGAAATTTAATTGATATATAATTAAATACACTCACCGGCCACCAGAGATTTTGCTCCATATTGTCATGATAGCATCACAAAGTTGCTGCAGATTTGTCGGCTGCACATCCATGATGCCAATCTCCCGTTCCACCACATCCCAAAGCTGCTCTATTGGATTGAGCTCTGGTGACTGTGGAGGCCATTTGAGTACAGTGAACTCATCGTCATGTTCAAGAAACCAGTCTGAGATGATTGAGCTTTATGACGCTGCGTTATCCTGCTGGAAGTAGCCATCAGAAGATGGAGACACTGTGCTCATAAAGGGATGGACATGGTCAGCAGCAATACTCAAGTAGGCTGTGGCGTTGATGCTCAATTGGTACTAATGGACCCAAAGAAAATCTCCCCCACACCATTACACCACCACCACCAGCCTGAACCGCTGATACAAGGCAGGATGATCCATGCTTTCATGTTGTTGAGTCGAGCATCTGAATGTGTCAGCAGAAATGGAGACTCATCAGAGCAGCAACGTTTCTCCAATCTTCTATTGTCCAGTTTTGGTGAGTCTGTGTGAATTGTAGCCTCAGTTTCCTGTTCTTAGCTGACAGGAGCGGCACCCGGTGTGCTCTTCTGCTGCTGTAGCCCATCCGCCTCAAGGTTGGACGTGTTGTGTGTTCAGAGATGCTCTTCTGCAGAGCTCGGTTGTAGCGAGTGCTTATTTGAGTTACTGTTGCCTTAATATCAGCTGGAACCAGTCTGGCCATTCTCCTCTGACCTCTGGCCTCATCAACAAGGCATTTGCGCCCACAGAAGTGCAGTTGGACAGGTGTACCTAATAAAGTGGCCGGAGAGTGTATATTGTATGATATAATAAATATTAACATATAATATTGAATTTTAGACCAATTATTGTATTATAATAATAATAATAGCAATAATAATAATTAAATTAATATTAATATTAGCAATAGGAAAAATCAAAGCAATAATATTAGTAATAATTATGATAGCAATAAGAATAATAACAGCAACAATAATAACAGTAATAATATTAATAATAATAATAAAGACTGAACTGGGGTTTAATATTATAATTCTGTTGGTATCATTATTTCTATTCTCATGAATAACAGCAAACATTATAATACAGCGTATATTTCACATCACTTCACTTAATCAGGTTTTTCTGCTGAGCTGATCGACTGTGGAAATAATCAGATTTCACAATCACACGACCTTCGACCCTGAATCCTGCAGTCAATCTTTAAACAAACTGATGATAACATATCAGCCAAATGAATGCTCATCAATAAAGAGCTCAAGCTTCGCTGACATCTAGTGGTGAACAATCAAATACAGAATAAACTTAGCATTTTGATAAACTATTATGGAGAAGATGATGATAATAATAATAATAATAATAAATAATATTAATAATGATAATAACAACAACAACAACAACAATAATAATAAAAATAACTACAATAATAATATTAATAATTATAATAATAATAATAATGATGATAATAATAAAAAAATAATAACAATAATAATAATAATAATAATAATAATAATAATAATAATAATAACAAATAATAATATTAATAATGATAAAAATAACAACAACAATAAAATTAATATTAAAAACAACAACAATAATAATAATAATAAAATAACTACAATAATAATATTATTAATAATAATAATGATAATAATAATACTATTAATAATAACGATAATAATAATAATAATAATGATAATAATAACAATAACAATAATGATAATAATAACAATAATAATAATAATAATGATAATAAATAATAATAATAATAATAATAATAATAACGACAATAATAATAATAATAATAAATAATATTAATAATGATAACAATAACAACAATAAAATTAATAATAAAAACATCAACAATAATAATAATAATAATAATAAATAATAATATTAATAATGATAAAAATAACAACAACAATAAAATTAATATTAAAAACAACAACAATAATAATAATAATAAAAATAACTACAATAATAATATTAATAATAATAATAATGATAATAATAATACTATTAATAATAACGATAATAATAATAATAATAATAATAATGATAATAATAACAATAACAATAATGATAATAATAACAATAATAATAATAATAATGATAATAAAATAAAATAAAAATAATAATAATAACGACAATAATAATAATAATAATAAATAATATTAATAATGATAACAATAACAACAATAAAATTAATAATAAAAACATCAACAATAATAATGATAAAAATAACTATAATAATAATAATAATAATAACAACGATAATAATAAAAATAATGATAATAATAACAATAACAATTATGATAATAAAAATAATAATAATAATGATAATAATAATAACAATAATAATAATATAATGATAATAATAAAAATAATAATAATAACAATAATAATAACAATAATAATTACAATAATAATAAAACATTTAATAAAGATAACTAAAGTAAAATCTAAACCAAAAAGCAAACTTGACTGAGGGCTGTGAGCCGAATATAATATATATTATATAAATTATATTATATAAATTTCAGTATAAATTTCTAAATGTTATGTTCAATTGGGAAAGCCACTCTGTCAAAGGCATTCACCCCAACCACCTCCCATCATTCTCCCTGTCTTTTCAGATGGGATGGTGGGCCAAATCGAAGATTACCATGGGCACTACTTTGGGCATTTCTGATCTAAACAAATCATCAGTAATTTAGAATCTCAGTCATGAAACAATGAGGTGCGAAATATTAATAATTTATTAATAAATGTCAGTATTAAACATCCTGATGGTCATCATGTAAGAAACAGTAAACTCTCAACAACAATCCTTCATCTCATCCATCAAACACACAGATTTTTGACAAAATAATCTTATTATTTCACTTTTCAGTTATGAAAATATTCTGTAAATTAATCTGTAAATTGAGTCTTTGCCCCAAAAAATATGTAATAAGTTATAATTTAAACATTCATAGCAGTTTACATTTAAATTAATAATTCATAAAAACAAAACCCCTGAATTAATCTTACATTACATAAATCATAAAATGTCTTTATTTACATATCTATATATTGCATGTTTGTGCTGATCCCTGCTCCCACACAACCTACACCAAATTACAGAAAATAATTAGGAAAAATTAATAAAATATCCCTGAAAACTGACACCAGGAAGTGTGCAATAGATTTCCTCATGTTTAGAAATAAAGCAGCCTTCGTTCTATATTTACTGTATAAACATAAGCCGGTTTAATAAGCAGTTTTGGCTTTGATTTGACACGTTTATGTTCGTCATCGTCCATTTGCTGAAAGATATCCAGCAACTCTGGTCTGTTTAACCTTCAGCGGTTCCTCCATCTGACCTTCAGTAGAGCTTAACACACACAAGACGATCAGAATATCCCCTGGTTAGTGTGTGTGAGAAGTCACTTAAATCAGCTGATTGGTGTTTTACACACACAGCAGAAAGAGTGTGTGTGTGTGTGTGTGTGTGTGTGTGTGTGTGTGTGTGTGTGTCTGTGTGTCTGTGTGTCACATGATGAACATTTGATCATATGCTGAGTGTGTAATGGTGAAACTCTCACCAGTGGCTCTGTTCAACATCTATTAAATACCCTAGATAGACAGCATATCAAGGCATCATTGGAGATTTAATTGATACCCGTACCAAGAAAACCTCGATTAAAATGATTATTCATCAATATCTGTGGAATATGCTTGGAGTTTCAACTATGCTTTATAAATAATCAGGGGTCGCCACAGCGGAATGAACCGCCAACTATTCCAGCATATGTTTTACACAGAGTATGCCCTTCCAGCTGCAACCCCGTACTGGGAAACAACCGTATCCGTACACACACACACACACACACTATGGCCAGTGTAGTTGATCAGTTCCCCTATAGCGCATGTGTTTGGACTGTGGGGGAAACCGGAGCACCCGGAGGAAACCCACGCCAACAGGGGGAGAACATGCAAACTCCACACAGAAACACCAACTGACCCAGCCGGGACTCAAACCAGAGACCTTCTTGCTGTGAGCCCACAGTGCCACCTGTATAAACTTGTGTATGGCTTTAATGTTGTCTGTGTGTGTGTAGGGTTGAATGTGGCTCACTAGTGAGGGCTCAAGTGTAGTGTAGCAGATGGAACACTGTATGGGTGTGTGTAAGTAATTAGTGAGGACTTTATTTGGGTCACTAGTGAGGGCACAGCTGTAGTAATGATGACTTTTGTAGAGGCAGATGTGCTCACTAGTAGAGAGTTCTCAGTTGTAGTGATGATGTCTACCTAGGGACGGATGTGGCCACTGCCAAGGGCTTGTTATCAGACATTAATAAGGGCTCTGTTGTGATGCTGTCAATGTAGGGATAGATGTGGTCCCTAGTGAGAGCTTGTTATCAGACATTAATAAGGGCTCTGTTGTGATGCTGTCTTTGTAGGGATAGATGGGGTCACTAGTGAGGGCTCAGCTGTAGTAATGCTTTCTATGTAGGGCTGGGTGTGGAGACTAGTAAAAGCTCTGTTTTATTGATGCTGTTTATGTAGGAATAGATGAGTTCACCAGTAAGGGCTCTGCTGTAGTGATGCTACCTATGTAGGGCTGAATGTGGTCACTAGTAAGGGCTCTCTGCTGTACTGATGCTATCAATGTAGAGGGGGATGTGCTCACCAGTTAGAGGTCTTCTGTACTGATGCTGTCTTTTGGATGTGGTGACTAGTAAGGGCTCTGCTGTCAATGTAGTGCTGGATGTGCTCACCAATAAGGGCTCTGCTGTACTGATGCTATCTATGTAGAGCTGGTTATGATCACTAGTAAGGGCTCTATTGTAGTAATGCTGTCTTTGTAGGGCTGGATGTAGGGACTAGTAAGGGCTCTGCTGTATTGATGCTGTCAATGTATGGCAAGATGTGCTCACTAGTAAGAACTAGAGTGCAAGATGTGCTCACTAGTAAGGGCTCTGCTGTAGTGATGCTGTCTATGTAGGTCTAGATGTGGTCAGTCGTGAAAGCTCAGCTATAGTAATGCTGTCTGTTTAAGGCTGGATGTGCTCACTAGTAAGGGCTCAGCTGTAGATATGCTGTCTATGTAGGGAGCTTCTCTCAGGACTTGTTGAATGCCGCCAGGATGGCCCAGACGATCTCCTCGGCGGGGCTGGACACTCGGCTGCTCTCCTGGTCCGGGTCGGCTTCCAGCAGGGTTCGAGAGCGTGTCGATGCTAGCTCGTAGCACTCGTCGGGCAGCGAGGACAGTGCGTTTTCCAGCACGTCAGACACATGTGCTAACAGTAGCAGTGCTAGCATGCGGTGGCTAATGCGTCGTGAGTCGTTGGTCCAGCGATCTAGAAGGCTGTCCTGAACCCGCTGCAGCAGTCGCTCCTTCTCTGTGCGGTCCGTTAGCGGGTGTGTCGTCATGTCGAACAGCAGGAAGTTCTGCTTCTCCGTGGTCAAAACACCCTTCTCCACCAGACTCTTCGCTAAACGCTCGCGCACGTTACGCATCTGGAAGTGCATCTTCATGGGGTTCCAGGTCTCACCTGAAAACACACGACACACATCACATACTGGGGCTGGTACTGTAAAAAAAAGGATAAGCTGGCTAACTAGTTTAGTTTGCACCAGTCCTGGGTAGTTTGGTTCCATGATGGTTCAAGTTATGCTCACAATATTGTCAGATTATCTTCTCGTTATTTTCTGGGTATGTTCAGTTTATATTCAGGTTATGTTGAGACTGTGTTCAGTTTATACTCTGGCTATGTTTAGTTTAGGTTCTAACTATGTTCTGGCTGTGTTCAGTTTATGTTCTGCTTATGGTCAGTTTATGTTCTGGTTATGTTTGAGCTATGTTCAGTTTATGTTCAGTTTATGTTCTGGTTATGTTCAGACTATGTTCAGTTTATGTTCTGGTTATGTTGAAGCTATGTTCAGGCTATGTTCAGTTTATGTTCTGGTTATTTTCAGTTTATGGTCTAGTTTTGTTCAGGCTATGTTCAGTTTATGTTCTGGTTGTTGAAGCTATGTTAAGTTTATGTTCTGGTTATGTTCAGTTTATGCTCAGACTATGTTCAGTTTATGTTCTGGTTATGTTCAGGCTATGTTCAGTTTATGTTCAGGCTATGTTCAGTTTATGTTCAGGCTATGTTCAGTTTATGTTCTGGTGATATTCAGTTTATGTTCTGGTTATGTTCAGGCTATGTTCAGTTTATGTTCAGGCTATGTTCAGTTTATGTTCAGGTTTGTTGAAGCTATGTTTAATTTACGTTCTGGTTATGTTCAGGTTATGTTGAGACTATGTTCAGTTTATGTTTAGGTTACATTAAAGCTATGTTCAGATAATGTTCTGGTTATGTTCAGGTTATGTTGAGACTATGTTCAGTTTATGTTTAGGTTACATTAAAGCTATGTTCAGTTTATGTTTTGGTTATGTTCAGGTTATGTTGGAGCTAAGTTCAATTTACGTTCTGGTTATGTTCAGGCTATGTTCAGTTTATGTTCTGGTTACATTGAAGCTATGTTCAGATTATGTTCTGGTTATGTTCAGGCTATGTTCAGTATATGTTCAGGTTATGTTTAGGTTATGTTCTTGTTATGTTCAGGTTATTATAAGGCTATGTTTAGTTTATATTGCGGTTATGTTAAAGCTATGTTCAATTTATGTTCAGGTTATGTTTAGGTTATGTTGAGGCTATGTTCAGTTTATGTTCAGGTTACGTTGAAGCTATGTTCAGATTATGTTCTGGTTATGTTGTTTATTTTCTGGTTATGTTCAGGTTATGTTCTTGTTATGTTCAGGTTATGTTAAGGCTATGTTCAGTTTATGTTGTGGTTATGTTCAGGTTATGTTAAAGCTATGTTCCATTTATGTTCAGGTTATGTTTAGGTTATGTTGAGGCTATGTTCAGTTTATGTTCAGGTTACGTTGAAGCTATGTTCAGATTATGTTCTGGTTATGTTGTTTATTTTCTGGTTATGTTCAGGTTATGTTCTTGTTATGTTCAGGTTATGTTAAGGCTATGTTCAGTTTATGTTGTGGTTATGTTCAGGTTATGTTAAAGCTATGTTCCATTTACGTTCTGGTTATGTTCAGGTTATGTTTAGGCCATGCTCAGGCTATGTTCTCATTATGTTATGTTCTGGTTATGTTGAGGCTATGTTCAGTTTATGTTCTAGTTATAGTGAAGCTATCAAGTTATATTTCTATAGTGTGTGTGTGTGTGTGTGTGTGTGTGTGTGTGTGTGTGTGTGTGTGTGTGTGTGTCTGACCGGTCAGCAGCTCTATCCAGCTGGCCATGTTCTCTGCAGGTTCAGTGTTCTTGATGTGTTTGAGAGCTTCATCCAGCAGCACATCTCCAGTGGGTGCAGCAGACTTCAACAACACCTGCAAATACACACAAAACAAACACATTGCGCTTAAAATAATGGTTTAACTATACAACAAAAAACTAAAAAATATAACAAAAAATCATAAAAAGAAGCAAATGTTTGTAAGGAAAATATTAAGTAACTACAACATTTTCTTTCTGTGCTAAAATTGATTATTTTTATTAGAACAATGTCCTGTAGTTTCACATTAAAATAGCTTCTGTTGCTGATTTAGTGTTAAACAAGTAAAAATGTTCACCTGCTAAAATAAATAAAAACTGGATTTACCAGTTCTTCACTAGCAAAAAACGCCAAAAAACACATTTATATATATAAATTGATGAAAAGTGCATAAATGAGATGTTTCTATGTAAGCCTGCAGACTCTTATTCCAGCATGATTTCCTAATCTAAACTGAAACTAAATATTGAGTTGGGGGCGGGGTTTATTTTAAGCACCACCTCTCATCTTTCACCAACAGTCTGAGAGGCGTGGCTATGCATATTTCGCCCAATCGAACTGCTGTTCCAGTGTAGAAGTAGACGGGCAGGTTTTGGTTGAAGATTAACAAAACAAACTGTGAATTAACTGGAATAATTCTTCACCCTAAAACTAACCATGTGCGCTAGCAGAGTAAATATGGTAAACCGCAGACTTCAATGATGATGATGATGATGTAAACGGAGTAAAAAGCAGTCAAACACCGGTTGGGCCGGTTTGGTTTGGGAACTGCTGCACCTCTCAGATGAACATGAGATACAGAAATGCAGTGAGCTGTGGACTTTATAATTATTAACCGTGTTTAACCCGTTCACAGAATATCCCAATGGTGTTCCTGGAGTGAGTTTATAACAGCTTTATTAAGCATCTGCAAAACTATGAATATAAACATAACCATGATTGTGTTTGCGTACACACTGACAAATGATAACAGTGTTGCCGGCAGCTAGATCTCGGTGACTCTCACATGGTCGCCTGCTGAAGCTAAGCAGGGCTGTGCCCGGTCAGTACCTGGATGGGAGACCACATGGGAATGCTAGGCTGCTGTTGGCAGTGGTGATAGTGAGATCAGCAGGGGGCGCTCAACCTGCGGTCTGTGTGGGTCCACATGCCCCAGTATATTGATTGCGACTCTATACTACTCAGTGAGCGTAGATGAAACGGTAAACCCGGACTCTCATCTCGTCATCATGCTCGTCTGCCGTGGTGGATGAGGAGATTGCCACCAAAAGTGTGTAAAGGGTTTTGAGTGTCCAGAAAAGCGCTATATAAATAAAAGGAATTATTAGTTATTTTATATTATTGTTTATTTTTATTACTTTTATTTATTTATTTATTTTTAATTATTATTATTTTGTGGTTTTCACCTTTAATGGATAGGAAAGTATTGACAGGAAAGCATGGGGAGCAGAGAGAGGGAAAGGATCGGCATAGGACCGCGAGGTGGGAATCGAACTTGGGTCACCGTGAGCACCGGAGTGTATGTGTCGACGAACTAACCACTACACCACTGGCACCGACATTGTTTATTTTTAGTTTATGCTTTTCCTTCTAGGCAATTCCCCCTTGTGAGCAGCAGGTGTCCTCAGTGTGCAGTTTGTAGCACATCTGACCAGTGAATCCAGCTCTTGTAATCAAGCTAATCTAACAGTGAATCTTACGATGGCAATCGGTGTTGTAGTGAAATGAAAACAAATTAATTTTCCCCAGCATGTCCAAATGAGGAAACAAGAAGATGCTGGAGCTTTGATGGAAATAGGGTGGGTTAAAATTACACGTCTACTTGTTTCAACTGTGTTTAAAGTCCACATGAACAGGAAAGCTGCGACCGTTTTATTTCGTATTGTGACGCAGTGCTGTGTTTGGGTCGTCACCTTGCGCTCCAGCAGTTTCCTCCGCCGGGTCCCCTGGGGCTCCAGCTGAATGCGGCCCCGCAGCCCCAGCTCTACCAGCATACAGCTGCGCAGACCTGACGAGATGCTGTCGTTCCAGAAGGACGTGTAGCCCTGCACAGCAACACACACACACACACACACACACACACACACACACACACACACACACACACACACACACACATTACAGATTAAATATTACACACACATTTACCATATAAACCTATAACATATTACACACACACACACACATTAAACGCCACACACACAACATATTGCACATGCACAACATTACACACAAATATTACACAACATATTACACATTGCAGATGACATATAAGTTGCACATATTACACTCACTCAAACACACACACACACACACACACACACACACACACACACACACACACACACACACACAGTTTTTGATGTTATAATTACTTGGTAACAAGGAAGTTTGCGTACAGATTGAACAATACAGCAGACAGACACACCTGTAGAGTTCTCAGGACTAAACACACACACACACACACACACACACACACACCCGTCTGTCAGAATATTCCATTTTCTTCCAAGTAGTTTCTTTAAAATCTAAACTTTCATTTAGTTCACCTTTTCATTCATCCATCTACAGTATCTAGTCATCAATAGTCCATCCATCCATCCATCCATCCATATAATCATCAATTCATCCATCTGTTTAACTATCTATCCATTCTATCCTCCCTCCCTTTTTCTGTCCATCAGTCATCTTTACATTAATCATCAGTCTATCATTCATCTAAATATGTTCATCTGTCCATCCATCTGTTTGTCAATCCATCCATCCAACTATATGTATCTATCTATCCATCAATCCATGTCCATCCATCCATATATCCATTTATCTATCCATCATATCCATATAACCATTCATCCATCCATCCATATATCTATTCATCCATCCGTTTGTCAATCCATTCATCCAACTATCTATC